CTTTCCTTTCCTTTCCTTTCCTTTCCTTTCCTTTCCTTTCCTTTCCTTCCTTTTTCTTTTTCTTTTTCTTTTTCTTTTCCATTTCTTTTTCTTTTTTATTTCTTCACTATTTACTATTTTTCTTTATTATCTTTATTTTCTTTTATGGTTTTTATTTCATTAAAAACTTCTTCAGTAAAAATTATTTTTAAAAAAGGAAGGCAAGAAGAGTTTTGTGGGGAGGCTTACAAGACGGGGAAACTAAGTAGCAGAATCTATAGTAAAGTCATGCTGGTTGAAGGAAGAGTACAGAATAATAAATGCATTAAGAAGCAGGGATCTGAATGAACAAAGGGCTCTGAGAAAAATAACAGAAACAGGTCTCAAAAATGTGTAAGAACTTCAAGACAGAAGTGAACATACATTATGGCCAATGAGCAGGAAGAGGCTGGTAGAGCAGCCTCTGAACTAAAAAATCTAGGCAACCACTGAAATGAAAAAAACAAACTCAGCAAGTGAAGGTTGATTGAAACCAAATAGAGCCAATGGGGAAAAACAGCCCTTTATGAATCACTGTGATATGATTTGTATTAGAGGTCTGAGATACAACTAAAAAAAGATTTGTCCACAGACTGTAATGGTGAAGAATATAAATTCTGCTAATTCTTTTAATTTTTGGCAGGATAGATGAAAATAATAAGGAAGACAGGTTTTTTAGAGTCTTGCCAGGTTTCAGAATCTTTTTAGAATCTTGCCAGGTTTCAGCTGAATATCTTTGTATCAGTTTTACTATAATACGTATTTGAAGTATTTCCTCTATTCAGGTTCAGGGAAGGACAGCATAGTCACCTCCAGGTTGTCCAGTAAAAAGTCTAAGCTCAACCAATGCAGCAAATGTGAACTATGATGACAATTACTTCTCCCCCATCCATATGGGGAAAAAAAACCATATGGGACTTTTGTACCTGGCCTTTCCTCTTCAAAGGCCTGGAAAATTAACCATCTTAAATTTCTAACAAATCCTATTTCTGTAGTTTTAAAATCTTAGAAATCAGAAACTACAGATATTTACCATATTCATCCACAGTGAAAGAATGGGAGATCTTGGTCCCTGATTTCTTCTGCACAGTGATTTGGTAGATTCCTAAAATTGGCTCTAAAACTAATGTGAAAAACAGCTGGACGATGTTAACCTCAGATGTAACATTTATCCACTGAAATATTCGATTTCTTTGAGGATCCTGGAAAGGCAGAATGAAAACGAATTCAGACACAAAGAAAAAGATCCAATCTAGGTTGCTTAGACCACAACTGTGCTTTCTGGCTGGAGAGAAACAAGGCTACACTTTTGGCTTTTGTTTGCCTCCTAACCACTCCCTTGCCCTTTGGAAGGCTCAAGTGCCTGCTTACTGTCCTGTACACATTGAAAGCAATAAAATCACACCAGCAGCCCTTGCGCACTATGCAAACAGTTTACAGTACTCTCTGCAATCCCTTTCTTTCCAATCTCTCGGCTCTGGGGGGGTGGGGTGGAGAGGGTCAGACAAAGGGGAGACTCCCTACAGAAATTGCTTGCTTCCCTCACACCCCACAGAGCAGAGAGATTAGAGAAGAAGAGATTTCAAGGTAGTACTGTAAACTGTTTGTTTGTGTAGCATACCTGCAGCTCCCAGCCCTGAGCTGCTTGGCACGACTGCATTGCTTTCAATGTGTAGAACAGCAAACAGCTTACTCTCTTGCAATTCCTTTCTCTCCAGTCTCTCTGCTCTGTAAGAGAGGGGAAAGAAAAAAACACAGGTCAGGCATAAGATAATGTGTACTAACTATAATGACGATCACGTCACTAAGGGACAGTGCAAAGGTTGTAAATGGTCTGCAAAGTTATTTTTTCAGCACCATCATAACTTCAAACAGTTGCTGAACAAAAGGTTGGTAAGTGAGGACCGCCTCTAGTGCTATCAGAGGAAGAACATATGAAATCACCTCTAATTTTGCTGGCATATTTGTTGCAGCCTGTGATAGTTGTTAACTACCACCACCACAAGGTGTCATCCTCAGCTCAAATCACGCAAATGCATTACAGTATTAATAAGTTACAGCCCATACTGGGCAATGACACCACACTTTCTCAGGGGCTGGGTGGCAGGCCCAAGCTTGCATAGAGACAACCAGTCAACCTGAAGCAGATTCTCACAAGCAACAAGAAACAACAGAATGACGGGAACCAGACCTGCAACAAATCCAGATATCTACATTGCCTCTACATCTACATGAACAGCACCGCTGCAGGCCCCAACCCATACGCACACAAGATTAGATGTGGCTTCATATGCTTTCCCTCCTATGCGATATCCATTACCTGCCAGCAATGCCCCTCTGGATTCTATATAGGACAAAGGGGATAAACTTTGTGCAAAGGGATGAATGGACACAAGTTTAACATCAGGACTCAAAACAAGGTCAAAGCAATATTTCAGCATGTCAGCCTCCCAGGACATTCTCTGGCAGACTTCAAAGTGGCTTGGAACAGCAACATCAAAAGGTTTCAGGCAATCTCAGAAAGTCTCTATAAACACAACAGGTTTTTAACATATTACAATTGTTAATTGTTAAGGTACTTGTAATCTGTCTCACTAGTAACTTTCATCTGCATAACCAATCTATTTTCCTCTCCCTTTCTCCCCCCCCTTTCCCCCCACAATTCAAATCCTGCATCAGTCTCACTGCTCCATACATCTGATAAAGTGAGGTGCAGGTCACAAAAGCTTATGCTTTTTCTTTTCTGTGAAATGTGTTAGTCAGAAAAAGTGCTATCAGACTCCTCCTAATATATGAGGAAAGGCTCTGTCAGCCGAAATATGACTCCTTGTAGTAAATCAGAGACAAAAAGTTAGTATGAGGAAACGAATGGTCTGTTGCCATGCCTTGCTAATACTACAGTAAGCTGATTTGGAGGCTGCCATCAGTGACCAAAGGCACCCAAGGCAATAATCGTTTGTCAGAACATTTGTTGCAAAATCCAACCTTGAAAACATTTTCTCCAGTACAAGATATTTTTTTGCTGTTCAGAGTTTTGCTGTTCAAAACTCAACTGATAATAATATGATATAAATTGGGTTGTCATATGAAAGTCATTCTAATACAATTTTGTAATTTCAAGAGAAATATATCTACATTTAAAATATTTTTAAAATTATTATTAATACTTCTGAGCATCTAGAACACATTGATGTTAAAACAATTTTTAGTTGGCACAATATTTCTAAAGCAAATCACAAGAACTAGTTTTATCCACAGCTGATCCACAGTCTTCCCTTTTCTCCTAATTTTCTCCCTACTATCCTATTTCTTGTCAAGAGAAAAAAACCCAACTTTGGAAATTTCAGTTAACAAAAATTAACAGGTATTAAAATAAATAGAAGAAAAAAAAGGAATGAGAAGAAAATAAGCACACCCACAACCTATACAACACTATAAACACGTATTGGTTCCAGGTAATATTAATTCATGTTTGATTAGAAAAAAGAACTTCAAAAGAGTATCCTTTTTCAAGAACAAACTAGATTAGCAGTTAATTAGTTAGCAATTTAGAAGTAGATGAGCACTTTAAATGTAAAGAGTGAATGTGTGATGACTGATCTGGATTGGAAGGGCAACAGAGATCAGGAAGCTTAAATTCGCTGCCTTCCTCTCTCGGATGAGGTTCCAATCAAGATGGCTCATCCCCTTTGTATGGAAAGGAAGAACAGAAGCGTTTCTTATGCAAGAAGCAGGGGACTCCGATTCACAATGGAGCTAAATGAATGGCATTTCACTTAGTCTGCCTCTCCCTGACTTGAGAAAGGCAGCAACTCTATTTTTCTTCCCTTTCAAGCAGATCTGAAAGACAAGTACTTGTATCCTAGATTTCTTATTTACCTTAACATGGATTTTTTCTTATTGGATACTCTATCAGAGCAGCATGAACGATATTTCTTCACCACTATCTGCTGATTTCTTTATATCAGAGGTGTCAAACACCTGTACGGCCCACAACACTCCTGAGTGTGGCCCGAACCAGTTTAAAAGCCAATTGAGTAATATTTAAGAAAATAAAATAAAAATGCAACAAAACATAGAAAATATTACATTTTAAAACGAAACAATAATACATTTAGTCACCAGAACTCCAGGTTCGCGACTGGCGAGGAGTCCTGCACAAGCTCGCCGCCTGAGCTTTATTGCAGCGACAAAGATTGCTTGGCGCTGCCCCGGCGCGGGCTGAACAGGAGCAGCACATGACCGGAGTTCCTTCTCAGGCCGAGCTGCAGCAGCGCCAATGGACCGAGCTGCTCCGAAGAAGTTCAGGCAGCAAGCTTGTGCTTTTCCCCGGGCAGCAGGCAGGCAGCCAGTCTTGCACTGGTAGCCAACCTGCTCTGGACCGCAGAGCCTCCAGCGCGCCGCGGGGCACCTCTCTCTGGAACAGGTTGCATTCCTTTCTCTTCTCCTCCAAAAGAGATTTAACTGATATCTGTTGAGTTTCAGGCGGCACAAGACTCATGATCATTGTTAACTTTATAAAAATGTCAATGTTTAAATTAATAATAATTGAACTTTAGATAAGTTCAAAATACATCCACAGAAAAAGGAAAGAATGGGAGGAGGGGGGGATGAAAGACAAGGGGTGATCTAAATGGTTTTTTTTTAATGCTTTCTTTTTTCTTTTTCTTTTTTTAAATTCTTTTTAAAATATTTTTGTAAAATATTCTTTTACAATATCAAATTCCAAGGAAATAATTTTAAATGCTTACAAAATATTGATTGCAGTTATCAGTGACTAGTGAGTTTATATTATTCTGTAATCTGTAAACCTGTATATGTGGAACCAGCTTAGCGTAGTAGTTAAGGTTAGATTAGAAACCAGGAGATGGTGAGTTCTAGTCCTGCCTTGGGCAGAAAGCCAGCTGGGGCCAGTCACTCTCATGCCCAGGAAGAAACAATTGCCAAGTCACTTCTGAAAAATGCTGCCAAGAATAATGCAGGGGGCAATTGTCAGGTGTCCAAAATGACTTGAAGGCATAACTTTCAAGAGTGTATGGGTCATACTACTGTATTCTAGTTTCTATATTTTAACTAAAAAATACATAAATATTTTAACCTTTGAGTCAGTTTTTGACTCCTGGTGATTGCCTGGACAAGTCCCTGCAGTTTTCTTGGCAAGGTTTTCAGAAGTGATTTGCCATTGCCTTCTTCTTTCCAGGGCTGAGAGGGAGTGACTGGCCCAAGGTCACCCAGCTGGCTTTGTGCCTAAGGCAGAACTAGAGCTCCTGGTCTCCGTTTCTAGACTGATACCTTAACCACTACAGTACACTAACCTGGCTCTATATATTTATATATACACACAAATATATGTGTGTGTGTATACACATGCATATACAAGCACACACACACAAATATTGAAAGCAAATAGTGAAATTCATAATAATTTGTTTCTTTTTTATGTATTAGTTATATTCAGTTCCTATCTGATTTTAAGGTGTTGATGTATTAATAAATAAATATATAAATGTGTGGTTTTCTAAGCCAATATGCAGCCAGCAGGGATCCTTATTTTCAGTTTAGTGGCCCTGTTTCTATTTGAGTTTGACAACACTTACACCACAATTCTCAGAGGCACCAGAGAGGATAGCTTTTAGCTAAGGAAAGCATAGAGAAGGGGTGCTTTTCATTAAGAGCCATGGTGGGGTAAGGAAGAGTTAAACCTCCTCTCTTTGCACATTTCCTTTGTTCACATACTTATTAACTTTTTATTTTGATCCTGCAAAGTTTAAGTGACTTATTTGATGTTGAACCTATTTGTTTCTTGATTTGGTCCCAAGTCAGTCAACGTCAGTGGCTTCGCCTCAGTAAGCACAATACAGTATAGATAAAAAGAAAGAAACAGTCTCTTACCTGGATGGTAATTAATGGATACTGAAAGATGAATGAGACATCAAAGTTTATTAGGATGTATGCTTTTGACACTGACAACTTCTAAGACTTGAGCATCAGAATTTCTAATGGTCAAATCTTCAAGGAAACTTTTCCCATCCCAATTCTCTATGAAAGCTGCACATGCTGGCTTTTTTTTTTGTAATATATATATATATATATATATAACTATAAAACAAAATACAACTCAGGTTACAATTATGGTAGAAAAAAGTGAGATTACTTTCCTGGCAATAAGCAAAATTAGAAGCCAGCTTCCTGTTAGCATTTTTGCTACCAAAATACTGCAGTAAAATGCAAGATTTAATATGACTGAGTGGCACTGAAGAAAAACATTAAAAATATACTTTTCTCCAGGCAATTATCATAATCAATAAAATTATGCTGTCTCATAAATGGCCAAATGTATTAATGATGTAATTACATAATTCCTGTAACCCAGAGTTTAAAAATTCAAATCTTTATAGATTCCCAGAAGATAAATATTATTTCTGTTAAAGCAGCTACTAAGTCTATTATACTTCTAAAACTGAAGCTAAAATTCTTTCATTGCCTCATTTGTGCCCGGATGCTTTATTCTCTCTGCCACAATTTTAGTTTAGTCACTGCCTTTCTAGTAAGAATAAAGTTTATTTCATTTCTTGGAAAATTATACTCTGAGGCATGCATAAATACAACCAATTCAGTTTTCACTCAGACAGTGTGATTTGATCAGATTTGATTCAGCAGAGATATTTAGAGCTTATCCGCAGGGCCGTTACCCCATTGTCAGAATGGGTTGGCAACCATTTCTGGAGCACAGAAGCAGACATTGCCTTTCTGTATTCACCCTCTTTCATCACAAATGTGACCTCTGAGAGTATTCCTGGTGGGGTTTGAAAGCAGTTTCCCCATTACATTGCCTTGAGTGTTTCTATCTGTTTTGCCTGATACATTCCTTTGTTATACTTGAAGGTGTCTGGAAAAAAAGATGTCCACTGGAGGGGAAGTGATCGGCAATTGCTTTCCTTAATAGAAAAGTTGGAGAGCAGGGCTGCAGAGGAAGTGTCACATGGGAGGAGGTGGACACCAGCTGTTCCAGCTAAATGCCACGCAAACTGTTGCCAGCTGTCTCAGTCTGGACAAGATTTTCTTAAGATGGCTTTTAGTCAAGCAGCATGAGCTCAGGACGGGAGTATCTTCAGAGTCTAGTGTGAATACGCTGTAATTTAGCTTTTATCTCCAAAGCAGAAAATGCTGCCATACCCCAAGAACTCATTATTAGCACATTTGGGGGTTCTTGTTTTGCCTTCTTGGTCAACAGCTGTATGTACTGTATATACCTACAGTACATCCCTCTGTCTGTCTGTCTCTCTCTCTCTCTCTCAGAAAGTTAGAGCTGATTAAATGAATGCTAAAAATTACCAGTAAATAAGGATGTCTCTTTTTTAGCATTTTTTTCCTCCTTGGCACATACTTACAATCTCAGGAACTGGTTTGAAGTGTGTATCCAAAGCCACAACTCGAAAGAGCACTGAAAGAGAAAAGAGAATTATTTGGAGGAAATGCAGTAATTTTTTTTCCTACCAAGCAACAAGCTCTCTTCAGCTTTTATCATTCTAACATTAGAGTAAGATCTAATGGATGGATCTGCGTTCACATTCACATATGCTGACCACTTGCACCAATAATGGTTTGCAGGATACACTGAATTTTGAAATGTTTGTGAGTTACCTGGCCACTTCCTTTTATGATCAAATCATGATCAGCCCTTTTAATACTTTTTTCTATCTTCTTCTTTCCATGTCCAATAGACAGCTCCTATTCATCTTTGATACTTTGTCAAGATATTCAGACCACTGGTATTGATATAGGATACTTTTTATTTGTATAACATCTGTCTGTGGCTTAGGTACAGGATCTTCGAATAAATCTGGACAGCTTGCCAAGGGATTTTTATGAGTCAGGGAAGCATTTCATATTGGGATTCAATTAAGAGAAACATTTTTTCAAGGTTAAGGTTGCTCTTATGTGTGCCTTCCCCTATTAAAACAGGTTGTTTTTGAGTATGTGTTTGGTCACCTTACCCATTCAAATTTGACACTTTTGTTTAGACTCTGTCTAGCATGAATGGTATAGGGAGGACTATAACAAGATCCACAAGGCCCAAAAGGAGACTGCAAATTTAGAGAAGCAACACAGTCTTCCTTGTGTACACTCATATCTGACCCTGCCTGAATTCCACAAGACCAAAAACAGGTGCATAGAAAGAAGGACTGAACTCTGCACGCTACTGATCATTCCTCGTCTTTACCAAAACAGAACATGGATGGATTTCTTGTTTCTCCACATTCATAGGATGATAAAACCAAACCCTGTGAGGACCAGCTAAACGAGCTGGGCACATTTAGAAGAAGAAAAAGAAGTTGGGCACACAAAGAGAAGAATAAGAGAGAGAAGCAAGGGAGGGCATTCTTGTTCTCTGTGGAAACTGAGAGCATGACAAGGAGCAATGGGTTGAAATTAAAGAAGGTTGAGGCTAACTATTATGAAGAATTTCTTGATGTTTTGCCTAGATCAGTGGTGGTTGCCTCCCTCGCTGGAGATTTTCAAATGGCTGGATTAACCTGTTGAGTTAGTGAATTCCTGCCTTGAGCAGGAGATCAGACCAAATGGGCTATAAAGTTCTTCCAACACATATATTGACATTCTATGATTTTAAAGCAATTCACCTATCACTTCATCAGGGTCAGTACTTGTATGCAGAAATGATTCTGTGAGTCTGCCTTTAAGGGAACCTCTGGGCATGCTGACCTATATTTATTCTTACATGCACAAAAAAGGTGGATTTTTGCTGCATCACATTAAAGGGATTCCTTTAATGGTTTCTATAACATATAACATTACATATAAACTTTAGCTATCAGAACGTTTGGTGGTAGGGAGCTGTAATATCTGATGCTCATGCTTAAAACCGTGTAGTTGCCATTCAGAAATTCTAACAAGTACCAAGTGCACTTAAGCTTAGGTCAGATCTATATGGTTAAATTACAAAGCTGGATCTGAGGAATCTGGGTGACTGCCATATAGTAAGAGAGACGTTTAGAAAGCAAAAGCAGTTCCATTTCCATTCTTGAGAGCAAATATAAACCCAGGACCCCTGGCTCTAGAGCCTCTTTCCTCTATCTTTTCCCTTTCCAGAGTTCTCCAGAAATTTCCTCCAGAAATCTCTTTACAAAAAGGTCTAGGTTTCCAGGCCTGGACCACTGCTGTGTATCCAGTTCTTGCCCTGTTTCTTTAGTTACAATATTAGAATATTCTGAAAATGGATGAGAATAAATAAAAGTTTCTGAGGCTCTTTGTACAGAAATGACCCTTACTCACCCTTCTGTCCAGACTTGTAGATGGATTTGTCTGTCTGGATAAAGACAATACTGCCTCTGTTTTGTATAGCAACGGCTCTCCTCACCAACACATTGTTATAAGCTCCTTTGATAGACATGAGGATGAACGCCAGAGGGTTGGAGCTAGCAGAAGAGATCTGGTGGGAGAAAACCAACCAATGATGAGGCATGCTTCATTACTTCAGTATTTTTATTGTAGTTACTAGACATCTTTTGCCACCCATAATCCGGCACTAGCCTCACTGAATTGAACAAGAATTACAATAAAAGTTAAGATAAAAGTTAAGTCGGGCATTGGGAGATCAAAACAAGTCCGTCCTCTGGCATGGAGACATCTTGAGTGATTTTGGGCCAGCCCAACCTACCTCACAGGGTTGTTGTTATTGAGAAAAGAGGAGGGAGTGCTATAAATACTACTTTTAGCTTCTGAATGTAAATCTGAATGTAAATTAAAACAAGTTAATATAAATTCCATTCTTGTAGAATTCTCTTTCTAAATAGAACCCATTTTGGTGGGCTGAGTCAATATGAACAGGGGATGCCATTTGGATATTAGATCCCAAGGGCCAAAATGTCTTAGATCAGACTTGTACTCTGAAACATTCAAAGGCAGCTTTCATGGAGGTGTAGTGCTGAAAGATGCAACACACTGTTACCCTCTTTTTCAGAAGTAGTTTTGTTTTCTTCATTGTTTCTTGCTTTTCTTGAGCCAACCCTTGCATTGCTGATATTTCCATGGTAAATGTGCAAATTCTATGACTTCTAAGCATCATCAAGCAAAATAGATAGCTTAAAACAAACCCTTTCAGACTTTCTACCATAGGCCCATAGTTCTGCTGTCCCCAGTCCACTGCCTATGTATTTTGTATTTCTTTCACTCTTTTGAACACCCAGTGCACACAGGCCTGCACATCTTACAGAATGGAAATGATAAATTAAAAATCATCACAGGCTGCAAAGGAATACTTGGCTGTTTGGTGGCTGGTGGAATGATAGCACTTGGAGCTGGCAGTGTTGGTGAGACCTGGAAGGTGTTGGAGGCACTTGGCTCTTTCAGGGCGGCAGCAAAGTTATTGACTTTTTAAAAAATAAAGTCTGCACAAGGCTGTTTGGTGGGCCACATGTGGCCTACCAGCCGTATGTTGTGGAGACCTGGTATTACATCTAGTTTGCATTCAACGTATGTCAATTCCCACCTATACAAATGGGAATTACAGCATTCTTACTGGAATTTCTTCTCTGGAATAAAATATTCCCTTGATCCTCGTGTTCTTGCACTATTATGGCTAGTGAGGCATTTTGTAGTGCAGTAGCTAAAATTATGAGTGATGAGCTAAGACAGTGAAGAAGTACAGCTATCAGTTGGAAAATTCTTGTTGCAGGAATTCACTGACAGAGCCTCTGACAAGTCTCCTTTCTCTCAGATTCCGCTCTACAGATGCAATATAGGGTGGATAACAAGAAAGTGCTTTCACACTTCTAAGGATTATTGAACAAAAATATATGAAGCACCTTAAATGCTAGGACTTAAAGTTATTATCATTTCTTCACCAGATTTTCTCTTCTTGCTAAATTATCTCTCCTTTCTTGCTCCTCCTCCTCCTCTGAGGTGCTATAATTTCATTTCCCCTTCTTTCTGCTTCTCTTCTCTGCTTAATTCTCTTTAGAGAAGTAAAGACTTACGAGGAAGCTGTGGCATTTGAAGAAGTTCTGTCCTATCCCATGTTCTGTCAAAATACTGGTGTTCTGTCCTCCGTATTCCAGAACAGCATTCAGATTTACGGACTCATTGAAGTTGAAAAGATGTATACATGCAGTAATTGGGGCATCACCATGCAAGACAGAAGGAACGACTAGGAGGTACTGCCTATGAAATCCCAGAAAAAGAACCATGTTAGTCTGTGTTTAAAAGGCTTATAATCTTCTTATGAGAAACACTTCATTTTCAGGTTTGCTTTTATATTCATGAAAAACCTGGATTGTGTGCGCTAACACAAAGAGAAATATCCAGGTTGAAGTTTATTATTTATCCACAGACCAAAAGTATTAGCTTCCTTTTTTTCCCTTATCCCAATCTAGTACAATTATTTCTATGTACCTTTAAGAACTGTGCAATGAAAGGAGCTTGGGCAGGTGCAGTTTGACATAGTCAGGTAAATGTAAATAAGCTGTCTATTACTACCTGACATTTCGATAATGTCACAGCATTCTAGTTGAGATAAAATCACTGTAACTGTAACCAATTATTAAAGTTAGAACAACTCTCTGTACATCTCACTTGAAATAACAGTCTGAGTCTAAGCTAACAGTCTAATTTCCAATGCTTACAATAGACATTGGAGCAGCATCAACTGTTCAAGGGCAGGCTAATCATAAACAAACAAGCATAATTAAAATGGATTGTATCTTACTGCTCTTTCTCCCCATCTGCTGCAACTCTGCTAAAATGAAAGAGAAGTATGCCAAGAAAACTTTGCAGCCACATCATAGCCCAGAATGGTGTGAGTAGGCACAAAGCTAGAGGAGTCTTCCCAGTCTGGATGTCTGCTTCCTTGTTATCCTTATACACCTTGGACTTGCCTTCGTCAGTAGAACAGGCTGCCTTTCCTTGCCTAACTATTTTTGCAAGCTAAGACCTTTATAATCCTAGCAAAGAACAAGCCCATCCTCAGTTTTGTCCCCTGATAAATCTTTGAACCTATCAAAAAAGAAAGAAATGTCTGCTACCCAACCATGTCTGGCTGTGACTTGTGCAGAAAAGATTGCAAGAAAGAAAAAGCATTTCAGAAAAAAACCAGTCAAACTAGTTTAGTTTGAGAATGCTATCCATCCTCTCCAGTTCTAAAGGAATTTATAAGTGTATGAAATTTTCAATGGATGGTTGATTTTAAAATATATAGATAAATTTTATGGGTTATGTTTTAGGTTCATTTTTTATAAATATCAAGAATTGTGTCCATGTTTTTAATGTTCTTATTTTCAGCATCATTTACCTTTGTTCTTCTTTGATTTTGGCAGCAGCATGTTATTGTCAGAGTCTGCACGCTCAATTCCCAAGACCAGTAAATCCTCTGGATTCTATTTGTTTCCAGCAAAGATTTCTTTATTAAGAAG